AACATAAACTGGCTCATCGAACGAATTTAACATTATGTAAAATTAAATAAAATTACAATTTATTAATTTTTCAAATTATTCATCAATTGTGCTCATGATTTTCTTGTTCTTTAAGTTCTCTCCTCCTTGGAACCTTATAAGATTCAAGGAGACATGTTTTGAACTTTGACCATGTCATAAATCTTTTGAATGGTAAATGTTCTTTCTCAAGTTTTTCTCATATATGTTCAAAAGATAGTCCTCTATCATACTCTCCTTGTTGAAGAGAACTTGTCCTCATATTTTTACCACTTGAAGATTCCTTACCAAGAAATCACTATAAGTGAAAATACAGACATAAACTAATATGCAAACATAAATGCAAACACAAATGAAGACACAAACAAAAATGCAAACAGTTATTCAACAACATATGCAAGACAAGAGGAAATGTAATCTTTTAAAGGATATTTATTGTCTACTTTAAAGAAACAAGAATGAAGATATGCCTTAAAGAATAAAAAACTTTGTTTCTATTTTAATTGTGTTAATACATTCTAATGTTTTTGTCTAATAAAACCATTATATACTACCGGAAAATTCTGTGTTGTTTTGTAGTGCTTATTATAATCCTTAGAAATACTTAACATGTGATTATTGTAGGATTGATTATCTAGTTTCCTTTTGGAATATGTACTGCAAATATTGAAGTTGTTTAGACACATCTATGAATCATTCATTTTCTTTTTTTCCCTCCTTACTATAGGTACATGTTTATGGACATGACATATCCTAGATTAGATATCCTAGATTAGAGAGTGAATAACTGTGGAGTCATTCCAATTAACAAAATAATATTTATGAGAGATTAAATATGAGAACAGAGTTGCAAGGGATTGACTTCATATTCATAATAAAAAACATTATGATAAATTAGCTACACCACGAATTTGTTAGAACAAATTTCCAAATAAGTGACTGCATATTGGTTAGAGAATATAAAATTTTCTCACTTCAATTAATGAGGAATACAACAGCAAATTAACGATAAAATTTGTTACAGAGAGATTATATCTTCCTCCAATTTAATATATATATATATATATATATATATATATATATATATATATATATATATATATATATATATATATTAGATTACGAGAATAAAATATCTTTCTAAAATCCAATCCTTCGTCAACATATTTTACAAACATATAATAATTAAAATAAAATAAAATATCATTCAAAATGATTTTCGAAATTTTGTCTTTCTTTTCAATTTAATAAGGTTAGATGACTAAATTTGGTCATTTACGATTAATAACTTTGGTTGAATTCTATTTTATTCAATGTTGAAACATTCATAGTGCTTCCAATCTGTTAGTTGTTTTTGTTCATAAAAGATTTTAATATGTTCTTACAAGATCAAATTCAGTATGCAAAGACTATTAGAAAAAAAATATGAAGTTTAGAAGTTTTGATGATGTTTCAAAATTAAATCTCAAGTGTTCATGTTGCAAGAAGACCTTCATGAAGACTTGTTTTATGTTAAAGCTTTTGTAATTTAGTAGTTTTATGTATAGGGTGTTATTTATCCTTGATTTCATGTAATGTATGCTTTAAAATTCGTTTTGGAATCAGAAAAACTCTGCAATAATCGATTAACACTTAAGATAATAGATTATCACAGAGAGATTTTAAAAGTTTTCTAAAAACTCATTTGCCTCTAGAATAACTAATTACCCATTTATGATAATCATAATCGATTATGACTTACCATAATCGATTATCAAGTGCAATAATGAGAGTTTTCAAGCATGTTTTTTACCATTGTGCATACATTTAATGCATAATCGATTACCTCATTTAGATAATCAATAATCACGCGTTAAATAGCTAACAACAGACTTTTAGAAGTATCCTTTGGTGAGATCTCTATATATTGGATTGAGATTCTCATTTTAATATACAAGACATATGAAATCTTATCTGTTTTGTTGTGTACTGTAATAAGTGTGTTTTAGGGTTTGTGTAACCCTTATGTTTTGGTTTTAAGAACTTGGTGTTGGCATAGAGCGAGAACTTTCACGAGAGTTATGATTGAGTGTTGTTGTTGTTGTTGAGTAGAGTCTTGTCATCCTTTGTGAAGATTCAAAGGAGGTGTTCATCCTTCATGAAACATTCAAAGGAGGTGTTCATCCCTTGTGGTTTTCAGGGGAAGTGAGTTTCATCTTTTGGGGTAACAAGAGAAGTGCTCTAAACCTTAAACTTGTTTATTTCTTTGTGATTATAATAGCTTGTTGGTTTTGGTTTTGTGATAGTGGATCGCTAATTCTCATTTGAGATTAAAAACTAGACATAGGATCATAGTCATCTAAACCAATATAAAATCATTTGTGTATTTTCTCTCTTCTTTACTCTCTTATTTGTTTTAATTTATCATTAAGGAATTTGAATTACAAGAGAAAATTATTAAAGGTACAATTTGCAATAAGAAACTAATTAACCTTCCCTTGGTTTGTTATTCACGTTAAGCATTTCGCAGCACCGCTCTAACAAAGACTACTACTAACTTCCTATCTTCACTTCTAAAACCTCTCATCCTCTCGTACTTAACTTGGATATGGTCGGCGTATATTCTCCACCGAAACCTAATGGGGGTTATGTCTATAAGGACACTTTAGCACTCAAGTCAGACAAGACACAATGAATGCAATAAATGTATAGTAATAATGACAAATGTACTAATTACCTAAAGAATAATGTTATTTATACTAAATACTAGGTTTACGGGCCCTTACCTGATTGGATATGATCTGTAAAGATAATTACCGAGATTAATTTGCCTAATGATGTTGGCAAAATGGTTTAGCTCTTAATCTTATCAAAATTGAAAGGTAATAAGGCCAACATGATCTTAACTATAACTAGGCCGATGTAGTGCGATGGAATAAGCTCCTCCAAGGTATATGACTCAAGGTAGAGACTTCCAAATGGGTTGGTAGTTGCGAAAGTTTGATGGTGGTGGGACTATTGTATACATATGGTGGGTTTGGTGTGGTGTGGTGAGATGGTGGCTCCTCCTCCAAGTTATATGACTCAAGCAAGGGGAGAGGCAATGGTGGTGTTTGGTGTGCTCTCATGTGAGGTTAGGCCAACTCAAGAGGAAAGATGGTTAGAGGAAACCTAGAAGGGGTGTTCTACTCTTGGTGACCTAAGTTGAGTAGTATGAGACACCTTTATTTATAGGCTTAATGTGTCTCTAAATTGTAGAAGAAAAACCCTAAAAACCTTTAGCTTGAAGACCAAGGTAAAAATCCTCTCCATTAGAAGGAGGACATGTGACCTCTAACATAGGATAATCCTCTCCATTCCTAGAATGACACATGATCATTACCTATGGAAAAACTTGTCCATTGGGAGCATGATACATGGTCATTCCATCCCAAAGGTGGGGCACCCTTCTCTCTTGCTCACCAAGGCAAGGACAAAACATTGACCAATGTGGTCAACTCTAGAATATGGGTCTCTCTTGGGTCAACATTGGGTGTTAACCTTTGTCCACATTGGGTCTCTCTTAGGCTAAAACCCTACACTACTTGACTTATTACACAAGGCCTAAAACGAAACCTTACACTACTTGGCTCATTATACAAGGCCTAAAATAAACCCAATCTACTAAGAACTCATTGATGGCCCTTGATAATAAAAGCTTTGATCCACCTTCTAAAAATGACTTCAACTCTTTTTTACTATGCATGGCCATGGCTAGGGTGTATGCCATCATCCTCTCCCTCTTGAAAAACATTTGTCCTCAAATCTTCATGTTTCTTCATGATAAGATCATTTTCTTATTATCGGTTGACTTGTGATACAATCCTGCTAAATCAAAGATCAATTTGTAGTAGTCATTAAACAAAAATTCAATAAATCTCTATGCCACAAAAAAATAAATATCTGAATGAAAAATTTTAAGAAAATCTTATGTTAATTTTGAAAGAATTTGTTTGAGAACTTTCAAAGCCCACATCACAAAAATGTGTGTGTTTACTTTGAGCTAATTGTAACTTAGAAGATAACATTAATTCAAAGTGTGATTTTGAAAAATCTAATGAGGAGTTTAGAAAAATGGAAGAAGGAGGTGAATTTGAAAAATTCTCATAAATATAAGTTGGATGTAAGAAAGATGAATTAATGATAAATTGAAAACATTTCAAAGTATTAAAAACTCCCTTTATCATCTTGATTTCAATTACTATTGAGGGGATGTGAGGTTGTTCTAGTAGCACTTCCTCCTTGAATGAGATTTCCTTTTCCTCTTTTTCTATTCTCTTTGTCCTTCCTTTCTTTTTTCTTTTCCTCTTCATTTCTCTTCTTTCCTCCTCTTCTTTCTCTTTTCTTTCTTGCTCTTCTTTCTCTCTTTATTTTTTCTTTCTTCTTACTTCCTCCTTTTCCTCCTTTTTTTCTTCTTTCTTCTCTTAATCTTCTCTTATATCTTCTCATCTTTTTGTTTTAAAATTCTAAGTTGCTCTTCCAAGATAGCAAGTTGGACATCTCTTTTAATTTTTTTCCTTTTCTTTTTGTATGACCTCTTAATTTCTCTAAATTTTTAGTGACTTTAGTTCTTAAGTATTTTTGTAACTTTGTGGAGCTTTTCTATTAGAGTGACTACCAATTTGATAAGAAGGATTCTTAAACATGTTTATGCATCCAAATTTTGAATTTAAGATTAAGAAACTTTTTCTTTCAAAAAAAATTTCCGAAGAGACTTAAGAATGCTCAACTTCATTTATAGGAAAGAGAGGTGAAACAACTAAGGAGACTCAAGGTTGTATTCTAAAATATTTTTTTTTAACAAAATTTTCAAAATATACGTGACCTTTTAAAATAAATTTTCTAAATACATAAAATATGTTTCAGAACTTTCTAGAATGAAACTTTTTACAAAGTGAACTTTCTCTCCTGCTTCTTCTTCCTAAAAATATTTTATATTATTTTTATTAATATGGAGTGCAGTTACTAATATTGAGATGGTGGAAGAAAAAGCCAAGAATTAAACAATATAGGAAGGAGCAAATAAGAAAGAAAGAAACAGTGTCTTCCATTTTGAACTGAGAAGCATTCCATGGAAAAACATCGCCACCCGCACGACGAAAGTCTCATGCGGGGTTAGAAATGCGGCATTCCATGGAAGAGAACCCTAACCTCTCTCTCACTCACGATTCTTCCCTTTCCTCTCCGGAATTCTTCAAACAAGTCCAAGCTGCTCTCAAGCGCCATCGCCCTCTCGCCGTTAATGCCTCTTCAGCTTCAACCCAATCCCATACCCTGAGGCCAAAGCGCTCCATGGTGGCGCACCGAAACGTCGCAAACAGGTCCGAAGGGGAACCTCCGTCCATTTCGGACACGTTCACCGGTGAAGGTTGTAAGAACGAACCCTCTCTGCCCGTGGAATCTCATAGTGTTGGTGCGCACAAGAAGGTTCGTTTTTCAACCGAGAGCAACAATGCCACTTCACAGCCGCAGGGTAATTTTTTTGTTACCTTTTACTTGCTTTGGTATGCCGTATAATTTAGTTGCATTTACTGTTGCTGCCTCTTTTGTGCCCCTATAATAAACCAAGGTTCAAATCCGTACCAGTACAACTTCATCGGACATGATTGGTTGCTAACAATCTATCCACTAACACTCCTTCCTTGTCAAGATAAATCTTTCTTATTTAGTTTTATGTGTGATAAGAACTACAATAATAGCCATATCCCAAGTGCCAAAGTTAATCAGGTGCTCCTTGATTAGCTTCCTTCTTTACCTACATCTGACTCAAAAATGAGGATAGTTACTCATTTCATTCTACATCAAATAGCAGAAGCTTTATCTCAGTCGGTTACTTACACAGCCATATATTAGCTCACATTGTCCATCGTGAGCGATCCTTATTTGGGGTTTTGACAAATTTTAGATTAGTTGGCCTAATACAACCCTCTTTCTTTACCTAGGCTTGGGACGTCCGAGACAGTTAGCGAGGTAGTTTTATGTGGATAGAACAAGTACCACCGCTCCATTTATATATCTATATATATAGATATATAA